TACACTGAAGATAACATGACTTTTTTCTAACTCTACCTAGCATTACTTTTACTGCATATAATATTAAGAATGTATATTTGTAATTTTATTAAGTCTTAAAAAAAAATATTTAAAAATGTGTAATAGATTGAGATAATTGTGAGGTCAAGGGAACTCACTCTTCTGTATTAGTATTATATTTATATTGTTATCTTGAGTGATGTCCCTTACATGTTATGTATATAAGTGTCTCGTCACTTCCGCCCTTTCTCTCTCCCCTCATGGTGTGAATAAACTACTGTTAACAACCAATGTGGCTTCTCGTCAGTGATTCCAATCTATCACATTGGCGACGAAGGATAAATAATCCACTAGAAAGAGCACCTACTTACGCAAAAAAGAGGTTTGCTAGAGCATATTAGCTAAGTATTTCTAGAATAATGGCGCTGTATGCCTAAATAAAAGAATTTGATTCGAATGATGAAATCATTCAGGATTATCTAGAGAGGTTAAGCTTTTACCTTGAAGCAAACGACGTGACGATAGAAGCCAAAAAGAGAGCTGTTTTGTTAACAGTCATAGGGCCTCAACAATTTAGGCTACTAAAGGACTTATGCGCACCAGCTAGTCTAACTACCAAGAGCTTTAACGAGCTGAGCAAATTGCTAACAGACCACCATGCGCCTACCCCATCAAAGTTTCTATGTAGAGCTAGATTTGACGGTAGGACTCGTCAACCAAACGAGCCAATATCAGAATATGTTGCTGCTTTACGTCATTTAAGTAGATTCTGTGAATTTGGAGAAACGCTGTCTGACAGACTATGTGAAAAGTTTGTGACAGGTGTAAACAGTCCTGATGTTCAAAGAAAGTTGCTGCTCGAATCAGATCTAACATTGGAAAAAGCAATACAACTCGCAACTTCATTCCAGCAGTCATCCGAGGCGGCGAGATCTCTAGCACCTTCAGAGATCCATGCAGTAAACAGCAGGTTAGTCAACAAACACCAACCCCATCAGAGCATTCCAACTTATGCTAAACAGCCTGCACGTTCAAATCCTAGATCTAAATCTAGTAATAATTATCAAAAATGTCATCGATGCAAAGGTCCCCATGCATCTCATCGGTGCAAGTTCAAGTCTGCAACTTGTTATAAGTGCAGTAAGCAAGGTCACATTGCCAAGGCCTGCTTTGCAAAGTCTTCGTCTGTTGCTAAATCTAGCCAGTCAAGACAGTACCGCAACCAAAGGCAGCACTATGTTAACTCTCACCAAGACTACCTAACTCAACCAATGAACCACTCTACCTGTGAAAATGCTCAAACTGATTCGCAGCCGGATTTCAACCTATTCTCTGTGAAATCAATAAGTCATGCTCCCATCAATGTACAAGTTAATATCAACGGTAAGAGCATCTCTAACAGTCATAACAAAGAAAGATTTTGACGCTGTCACAGGAGGATCAGTGCCTCTACAGACATGTCACAAGTGTCTAACAACATACACTGGTGACAATGTTCCGGTAATAGGAGAGTGTATGGTTCATGTAAGTTATAATGGTCAAAGTGTTAAACTTCCTCTTCTTGTGGTTGAAGGAAATGGACCACCATTACTAGGTAGGAACTGGTTAAGTGATCTTAAGTTAAATTGGGAGAGTATATGTTCATTGAAGAATGTAAGAGAATCTAGTCTTACTTCAATAGATAAAGTAATATCTGAAAATAAAAGTGTTTTTGGCAATTCAGGTTTACTAAATGATAGAACAGTGAAGATAAGCATTAAAGACACAAATCCAAGATACTGCAAAGCTAGAGTTCCACCTTATGCAATGAGGAATAAAATTGAAAATGAGCTAAGTAGATTGGAATCTAATGGCATCATAAAGAAGGTAGACTATTCCGATTGGGCAACGCCCATTGTGCCAGTGTTAAAGAAGGATGGTTCTATAAGAATTTGTGGAAATTATAAAACTACACTGAATAAGCAAATAGAGCTAAATAGGTACCCTATTCCTAACATTGAGGAAATTTCTTTGAATTTGGCAGGAGGAGACAAATTCACTGAATTAGACTTTAGTCATGCTTACACTCAACTAGAACTGCATCCAGATTCAAAAGTCTATACGACAATAAACACACATAAAGGACTCTACCAATATGAAAGACTATGTTTTGGCATATCATCTAGCCCTGGAATTTTCCAAGCTGTCATAGACAATATTTTTAAGGATATTCCAAATGTTTGTGTGTACTTTGACAATGTGTACATAACTGGTAAGAATGACACTGAACATCTTAAAACACTTGATAAAGTATTGAAAGTAGTTGGTGAAAAAGGTTTAAAGATAAACAAAGATAAATGTCAATTCATGCTGACAGAAATTAGTTTTCTTGGTTATATATTGAGCAAGCAAGGTATCAGACCTCAACCTGAGAAAACAAAAGCCATTAAAGAAACACCCAAACCTGAAAATACCCAACAACTAAGAGCTTTTTTGGGCTTGATAAATTACTATGCAAAGTTCATAGGGAATCTGTCTGGTAAACTATCACCACTGTACAAGCTGCTACAGAAAAATGCAACTTGGCACTGGGGTAAACAACAAGATACTGCTTTTAATACAGCAAAAGAAGCTTTGGCTGCTGACACCTTACTAACTCACTATGACCCAGGGAAAAGACTTATATTAACATGTGATGCTTCACCAGATGGTGTAGGAGCAGTCTTGTCCCACATGGATGAGAAGGGTGACAGACCCATTGCTTTTGCCAGTAGATCTTTGAACCAGGCTGAGAAAAATTATTCTCAGTTAGATAGGGAAGGCTTAGGCATCATTTTTGGTGTTAAGAAATTTCATAAGTTTCTGTTTGGTAGGAAGTTCACCATATTTACAGATCATAAACCATTGCTAGGTTTATTTGGAGAAAACAAAACCCTACCTGAGCATGCCTCACCAAGAATTCAAAGATGGGCTATCACACTAACTGCATACAATTATGAATTGAAATACAAACCTGGATCTGAGAATAGTGCAGATAGTCTTAGTAGATTACCTTTAAAAAACCAAAGCCTTAGCTATGTACCAGAAGATGTATTTGTTCTCTTCACTATCATGGATAACTCCAATCAAAATGTGAATGATATTAAAAGAGAAACACAAAAAGATGAGTGCTTAATAAAAGTATATGATTACTGTAAGAATGGTTGGCCTGAAGAGTCTGTGAATGATGACTTAAGGCCATATAGAATAAGAAAAATGGAATTAAGTCTAAAAGATGGAGAAGATCCAGTCCATTATCAGTCAGAGTTACCTAAACAAAGTATTTGTAACTTAATAAATGATTATGGTGATATGGCAATTTCAAATGTTTTAAAGAGAATACATTAGTAAGAAGGAATGTGATCATCAAACAACTTTGCTAACATCATTAGCACTTACAGAAACTAAAAGGGTAACATCAAAAGAAAAAAAGATTTTTGCCATTTAGTACACCCACTTCAAATACTGGATCACAGTTGCAAAGTGATATGGTCCAGGATAGTACTTTTAAACAGTATTTTTGGTTACCAGGAAAGCACTATCAGATTACCTGAGAAAATTGATCAATCAAAGAAATCCATGTCAGTTAAGGATCTGAATAACAGCATAATACTTTCAGATGCCAATTCAAAAATAGTTCCATTAAATCATGACAAAACATGCATTGAAAGAGAATTTGGTGTTAATGAGAATTTGTATCTAAGAAATTATGGGAGAAAGGAAAAATGGATACCAGGTCAAATTGTTCAATGTACAGGACCTGTGTCTTATAAAGTAAAACAAATGATGGACTTATTGTCCGTAGACATGCAGACCAGTTAAAAATAACTTGTGCAGATAATAAGTGTGAATCTGTCAATCCCACCAAATCTGAACAGTTCACACCAACTCAGTTTGTTCCACAACCAAGTTCTGTTGATATGAGTGAACCAAGTAGTCTGGAGTCAGAAAATGTAAATTCTGGAGTTAATGATTTAAATCCTAGACCTCCTGAGATAGAGAATCCAGATGGTCAGAATCTTGAGTCACCAAATCAAAAGCCACTGAGAAGGTCAAGCAGGACAATCAAAGTCCCAAATAAGTTAGACCTATGATTTTAAAGGTCAAAAGGACTTTGACATCATTGTTTTGTATCTTAATTATGTTGTAACATATTGTGCATTGTTTGTAAGGGTGTAATCTACCATAATGTTCATGTTGCAATATATTGGTGATTTTAAGATACTGTCAATTGTTCTATTGAGAGATGTGTTATTGTGTTCTAAGGGTAAAGGGATGTAATAGATTGAGATAATTGTGAGGTCAAGGGAACTCACTCTTCTGTATTAGTATTATATTTATATTGTTATCTTGAGTGATGTCCCTTACATGTTATGTATATAAGTGTCTCGTCACTTCCGCCCTTTCTCTCTCCCCTCATGGTGTGAATAAACTACTGTTAACAACCAATGTGGCTTCTCGTCAGTGATTCTAATCTATCACAAAATGGATGCAAAAAAAATAATTTGACAATCATATATTATACTCTATACTTGATAAATATAATTGTATTTTGCAAATTTAACATTTTTATTTGTATTGGAAATATATAATCCTAACCCTAACCCTAACCCTAAAAACAAGTGCCTTCCAACTTATGGTGATATACGAATATACCGTTAAAATTTATGGGAGATCACTCCTCTTTTATTTCTTTTTTCTTAGTATTAGAACGGCTTAAAATAACATTTTGCTACGTACGTATGCGTTTATCACTACAAATATTAATATATTACTTTCGTACTAACCCATATCCTTAAGGGTTCTGAAGCATTTAAAACAACAACTGAAACAAATAAAAAACTAGTCTGTTTAATTTCATTAATTGGACAATTTTTACTTCCTCGTATACTTATATAAACTATTATGTTGTTTGATTACAGTTTTGACCATTATATTCATGTACATCTTTAAATCTTGAAATAATTAAACCCTGACGGAAAGTGGTGCTGCAAGCTATATGCAACAAGCATACGTTACATACACGTACTCAATTGACAAGACAAATTGTTTTATGATGTATATGTTCATTTCACAATGGCACTAGAAGCATGCTTCTTTATATTGTCTTAACATTAATTTATGTTATAACACTCAAACACAAACTCTTTGTACATTTAATTGTATGTATTCTAAAATACAACCAAAAAAAGAAGTTAAACCATTTGCTTTCAAAAAATGAAGTGTAGATCATAATCCAGTATGTTCACAGATTGAAACTTACCTGTTGAAACGATATGCACATGCATAGAATATAGGAAAATTGGATAATTAAAAACAATCGAAAATGGTGTGGCGTGAAATAAACGATAAACTATTTATTTCATAAGCTTGATAAAATTTATAATCTAAGTATAGTAAATCCACTTCCTCCTTGTATCTTAGCTCCATCATCAGCTTGACCGACTTTAAAATAAAGTTCTTGGCCTTTCTTCATGCCAACAATAGTTGATCCAGCGGCAGATGTGTTGGCTGATTTGACAAAAATGTTCTTATAAAATCTGTCATCCCCGTAAACACCAATTTTAATCAGTTTATCTTCCGATTCCTGCAGCGTTACAATCACAAGATAGAAACCATCATCTGGTGCTACAAGTTTTCCTGTGGTTCTATTAAAATAGCTGCCGTAAGGTTCCCAAACTTTTTTAAACGTACAAAGAGTTGATCCAGTAGTTACTGTTGTGTCGTTTTGCAATTGAATGTGACAGATGTAAGGCTGACATACACGGGTCTCTGTTGGAAAGTATATGTTAGAGTTTAATCATGAACTTTTGCACAAGTGTCTGTGTGTCTGTTCACAATTATGTGTATGTTTACTATTTAACATACCGATTGACAGATATTTACCAGAGTTGTGAAAAAGTAATAAACTGAGTACCGATTAGTTATCGTTGATAACTATACGTTGTATCTGGTACTTTTTCACGAGAAAAAAAAACTTACCATTAAATCAGCATTGCTTTATGATAAGTCTGAATGAAGTATCTTTAATTATTTTTTTCCAAGAAAACTTACCGATTAAATGAAATTCTTTGGACAGCTTTGAAATGGTATTTTCAATATTTTCAAGCTAAATAAAAATAAAGTTTAAATAAAATAAATGAAGTAAATTTCCTAAATATTAGTAAAGATATCGAAGACATGACGCAGTGACCCACGCTTTTCTTTATATTTATTTAAATAGTAGTGTGTTATTATATGTTAAAAGAAAATCGTTTATTTTCAGCTTTTTAGACCATGATTAAATTATTACATTTTAATACATTTATTACATACCTTCTGTAATCTTTCTCCCCCTGTTTGCAAGTTCTGGTTAAAGATTTGAATCAGTTTGTCAATGGGCATCAATCTCTGTTGTAGGAGTTTGTACATCACATTTTGCTAAATGGATTATAACAAATATGACTATTTCTATTGCATATGAGTTTGCAGGCTTATAGGCCTACGTGTGGTGTGCCTTCAAATTAGCTTCAAATTCGAAAGTATTGTTGTTGGAGAAATTTACTAGCTGATTTTGAAAACATGTTACTACAATTTGGAGGAAGTAAACAGGCAAGTACGTGTAAAATGGTAAACCCAATTAATTAGCCTTTTAACTCTTTACCTACCTTTGATTGCACCTTTTCAAGTTTGATGGACGAATCTACCATTATTTTATTATTATCTTTTTGTAAAGAAACGATCTGATCAGAATGTCTTTCAATTTCTTGTGCTATACTGTCTATTTTGTCTGTGTGATCTTGCATCTCTTTATTTATTTTGTGTGCATTGTTTTCATATTCTTTCATATCTAGAGACAGTTTCTCTAGTGTTTTGTTTGACTTGGTTTCTTTTTCTTTTAAACTTTCTATTTCTTTGTTCAGCTCCTTTATTTTGTTATCTTGTTCACTCATTTGTTTTATGATATTTTTAAAATTCCGCTTTTGTTTTTTAGTCAGTTGTTCAATGTTTAACCACATGTCACTCTGTTCTGATACAAAGTTGTCTCTCCATTGTTTTATTTCTGATATGTCATCTGTAGATTTGTCATTGGCGTCTTGTAGAGAAGATATGGCTGTCTCTATCTGCTCAAGTCGACTGACGTCTTGTAGAGAAGATATGGCTGTCTCTATCTGCTCAAGTTGACTGACGTCTTGTAGAGAAGATATAGCTGTCTCTATCTGCTCAAGTCGACTGACGTCTTGTAGAGAAGATATGGCTGTCTCTATCTGCTCAAGTCGACTCAATATTTCTATAATATAGTAAATTTATGTATGCAAAGTATTATTATTTTTTAAATATACTTATTCCTTGATGAAGTTTAATTAAGCATCGTAACTTTTAACGTTTGAAGACATATTTTATATAAAATGTAATCGTTAATACCAGTTTGTTTTTGTTTTGATTCACTTAGGTCGAGTTTTTCTGTTGCTGTAGATTGTGGTCTAGACTGAGGTAAAGATGGCGTTCTGTCCTCGACGTCTTCGTTATGTTGATACTCATCTGGTTGATACAAATCAATTATGTAATTAAAGTGTCTGACATATTTAAAACTTTTCATTTGTGTTGGATAATGTTCTATTTATTTGGAAAATCGCACCTAATTAACTATCTACATTTACAACTGTTATAATTTATTTTGAAAATGGTAATTAGAGTGTAATATATAATTACTTGCGTGTTCAATATACAATAAAGCACTATTAAGAAAATATATTTACGCATGACTTGTGACGCTGCACCCAACATGGTCGTGGTCGCTGAATCAAGCTCCTGGTATAGCTCGATGTAGGTAAGAGACAGGTTGTCATTTTTATCTTCTATCCAAGTCTTACTTTTTTCTAATGCCTGATGATATTACACACACATGTCTAGTTAAAAAACAACTTTTCTACTAGTTATGATGTAAGTCTTGTGAATAGTGAATATAACAATAGAAGGTACAACGTATTCATTAACGATTGCATACCTTTTTGATCACTGAAATAGCAGGTTCTAAAACTTGAATCTTTTCTTCCAAATATCTCATGTGCTCAGTAACAAGCTTGACTTGAATTTTTGGCCGCATCTGAAATTAAACATATATAAGCTTAATGCATTTAAGTATTCCACTAACAATATTGTTAGGTTGCTTTTTTTGTTAGTATTATTTCGTCACGATTTGTATTGTTGGTTCATGTTTTTAACAATTACTTAACATCGATTAATTATTTTCATTTTTTTTCTTGGAAATGTCAAGTTTCAAATTATTTCATTATTTGTTGCTGAGGCAAGGTACTGACATACGAGGGTAACTGTATGCTTGAAAAAAGTAGCTAGAAACCAACATAAATCTACTTCATTAGCGTTCTAAAGTTAGGGTCACTCACTAATTTGTTCTTTTTCACTAGACAATTTTAAAAATCAAAACAATTTGCAAGACAACCCCATTCGCTGAAATGTGTATGAACCTGATGTTGTTCCATTAAATGGTATTTATTTTCCATTGTCAAACACTTATTTTGAAGCAAACATAAACATTCACAAATTTACATCAGATATAACTTTTCAACATTGGCCACTCTTCCACGCTAATATATTGAGTGCCAATTTAAAGATTTCCTTGACATTTTATGCATTAAACCCTAATAGACGTAATGTACGCGAGCGAAATTATTCGAGAGGCCCATTAAAAAATTTAAAAATCATGTATGAAGTAGTTACAATTAATATGGTTATAAAACCCTGGCTGTCTGTTTTTTACGGACTTTAACAATACTAAAGATTGGATGTAGGCCTATTTGATGTTTTCAATATTTCTGGTAACTTACTAAAAAATTAAAAAAAATCAAAACAATTTGGTTTTCACGTGTAATGGCGATATAAACTATGGCATCCAGCTATATATATGCTGCAATAAATTTTATTGTACACATTGTAAGCGAAAAAAGGAACACTGGGTCATGGTGTTCAAATTTGCATTGTTATTTAAAAACATAATCTGCAAAATTTTGTAAACAAATAGTTAGCGATCACGGAGTTCCTGTACAGCCAATCAATATTTGTCTTACGAAAGTGAAACATCCGGTTATAACTTAGGCTTGATGAAAATAAAAATAAATGTAGCCGTAAACTCAACAAATTATTTTTCAAGTTCACTGGATTTGGAACTTTTATAGCATTAATTCTAAATTATTCTGAATAGATTTTATTTCTATATTTAATTTCAAGATTATTGAGAAAAGAATCCAGATATCTTAGAAATAAAAATTCCAACAAAGTATTGCCAATTACACTCTTCATGAGTTGGTTTGAGTGTTAGATAATATTTCACTTATCCATCCTGTTTCTTTGGATTATAATCCACCATTATTTTCCAACCATTCTATAAACCATGCATAGTATATCAGATTAGCATAAAGTTTTTAAATTGTTATTGTATTGATTAATAAAAAATTAAAAGAATAAAAGTTAAGTGTCGATAAGTGTATGCGGTACTATATAGTTTACAAAAAGAAGGAAATTGTTTGTGTAGTTATCACATATGTTCACATTATTTATCAATTGAAGATCAAAAAAGCATCTATTTTTAATTTAATTAGAAGTACTGCAGATATTTCAGTTTGATCTTTTTTTTAGATTTACTTGTGTGTATGTTTGATTCCATGTTAACCTATGTTTGCCACTTGTAGTGTAAAAAGTGTTTGCTGAAGGACCAATTTGTGAAAAAATGATCATAATGTCATTTAATTTGTGAAAAATCCATTTCTAGACTCCGTGCATTCAAAATTGTCATAATTGTACATATATGGTTGTTGTACAATAAAATATACAAATCAACCCTATAGCTCTTATCAATTAATTTTTTTTCTTCTTTGGGACTGTTGATTTTAAGTGTTTTTTATGTTTTTTTAAAAACTAAACCATCAGATTTTAGGCTACAAAACTAAGACAAACAGTTAACACCTAAATCCCTTCTCTGATATTAAAGGCAAATCAAATACCTACACAATGATATATAACACATGTGTGTGCTGATGTTCTAACTTTACTTATGGTCAAAAGAAGCTAGCATACTGCCGGCTACTGAAAATATCACTAAAAACCCTTAGTCTGTTAAGAGTTAAGTTTTTATTTTTTATTATTTTTATTTTACGGTCGCTTTGTTTGCTAAATCTAAAAGGGCACGTTTTTATTCCATGTCAACAACATGATGGAAGGATTCTTGTCAACTCGCTCACCTCCATTAGCACTTTCGGCCACGACCCGTATTCCAGATCCTTTAATAGCTGTGTTAATTGTTGCCTTTAGGCGGATATAATTTCAAGATTTCTTGAGTCGAAAATTCATTACTTTATATTTATATTTTCGCTAATTATTTTTGTGATAAAAACTCATAGGCCCTAAAAGTTCGTAGGCTCAGTGCCCAATATGCCTAATGGATAAATCTGTCCGAAACACATTGGTCAGGCGAAATCAAACATAAAATATGACCTTTAGTTGTGAAAGGTAAAAACTGCAGGTACTTGTTACCTTTATAGTGGGCTAGACAACAAGAGCAGAAACAGTTATGTCCCTTTTGTTATTTAATTTGTTACACCAAGTCCGCTTAACAACACCGGGATTTCCCGTATATCACTTTCTGTTTCACAACAGCCAAGTAGTTGCTTAAAGTTTCAAGAAAATGTTAGTGCTAGTTGAACGACTACCAGTCAAAAAAATCAAAATACTTTGAATAAATTAATATGCGATAAACAAATAATAGACATACAATCGAAAGTATTTGTATCTGGTTATAAAAAAAATCACAAACTTGTTGTAAATAACTTTACTTTGGTTACTTTAATAATCTTAATGCTTTACTTTATTTCTTATATATACTGTTAAGCTTATTAACAAGTATTTATTCAATACATTTTGAAGTTATAAAGATGTTAAACTGATTTTCTTTATGACTAAAGACCAATATATATTGTGAGTTTACCTGAATTAACTGTGTTTTAGTTCTATGCAAGACAGCAGTCTAGTTCATCTCTTGGGTTTCCGCCATCTTTATTGATGGAACAAAGATATTTTTATAACAGTTGGTTTTCCCGGTAGACACATTATTAGATTGTTTGCTCACTTGTTAGCTGTAGATGGTTTTAACCTAAATTTGACATTCCTATAGTAACAAACACCTTTATCATAGTGAAACAAGTTTAAATTGCATACACTTTCTAGTTACATAGAAAATGTACAACTATGTAAGATATATTTTGTACAAAAGTGTATAAAAAATCATTAAAAAATCATAAAAAATCTCAAATTTATTTCTGAAAATTCTTGGGGTGGGGGCGGGGGCACAGGTTTACGTACATACATACTTTCTATATAAAACTTATTTTTGTAAATTTCGACCATCGGTGTGTGACAGGTGGTGGGGTGTTGAGGGTATACTTTTCTTCAGGGGGAAATTTTTGAGGGTACTGCCCCCAGCCCACTTGTACATATGCCTGCCTAATACTCTGCTATAAACGTGAGACTTACCCAGAGATAAATTTGCAGAACAAAGATAACAACAAATGTAGATGACACATGGCATGGAAGCCTGATGGTATTAAAGTCGTAATATTTTTTTTACGTCCGAGGTGTGTCTATCCTTGGTAATTCCTACAGCTACTAGTGTGTATGTAAACCGTGAAAGTTATGTTTTAAATGTCTCACATAATGTAACACTTTTTTCATAATATGTCACTTTTGTGAACACAGTGATACGCCGTAGCAGATAATTAAATGGGTCACACAACGTAAAGACAAACTCAAACGGGTTACAGAACATAAGAATAAATAAAACACACGCTCATTAACACTAAAGACAGTTGTATTATATCTGCAATATGTACACAAACACAGGCGATTCTAAATTTCAAACTTGTACACAAACTAACATTTAGTGGCTATATAAAAGTAAACAGAACAGAACTTACCTACACTAGCCTGGTACAGGAATTGGACTGTCATACGCAAATCTTGCACACATTATATACATGTACACAAACATTTACACAGACATGTACACAAACAGGCAAACAAACATGTACTCAAACATGTACGCAAACAGGCAAACAAACATGTACTCAAACATGTACACAAACATGTACACAAACATGTCCAAAACATGTACACAAACATGTACACTAACATGTACACAAACATGTACACAAACATGTACACAAACATGTACACAAACATGTATACAAACATGTACACAGATATGTACACAAACATGTACACAAACATGTACCCAAACATGTACACAAACATGTACACAAACATGTACACAAACATGTCCAAAACATGTACACAAACATGTACACTAACATGTACACTAACATGTACACAAACATGTACACAAATATGTACACAAACATGTACACAAACATGTACACAGACATGTACACAAACATGTACACAAACATGTACCCAAACACGTACACAAACATGTACACAAACATGTACACAAACATATACACAAACATGTACACAAACATGTACACAAACAGATACGAAAACATGTACACAAACATGTACACAAACATGTACACAAACATGTACACAAACATGTACACAAACATGTACACAAACATGTACACAAACATGTACACAAACATGTACACAAACATGTACAAAACATGTACACATACATCTACACAAACATGTACTCAAACATGTACACAAACATATACACAAACATGTACACAAACATGTACACAAACATGTACAAAACATGTACACAAAAATGTACACAAACATGTACACAAACATGTACACAAACATGTACACAAACAGATACGAAAACATGTACACAAACATGTACACAAACATGTACACAAACATGTACACAAACATGTACACAAACATGTACACAAACATGTACACAAACATGTACACAAACATGTACAAAACATGTACACAAAAATGTACACAAACATGTACACAAACATGTACACAAACATGTACACAAACAGATACGAAAACATGTACACAAACATGTACACAAACATGTACACAAACATGTACACAAACATGTACACAAACATGTACACAAACATGTACAAAACATGTACACATACATCTACACAAACATGTACTCAAACATGTACACAAATATATACACAAATATGTACACAAACCTGTACTCAAACATGTACACAAATGTATACACAAATATGTACACAAATATGTACACAAACATGTACACAAACATGTACACAAACATGTACACAAACAGATACGCAAACATTTACACCAACAGGTACACAAACATTTACACAAATATGTACACAAACATGTACACAAACAGGTACACAAACATGTAAGTAGTATATTAGGTCCCTTTTTTATCGAAGGCGCAGACGTAGGCGCAGGTGGATGCGCAAAGGATATATAGCAAAATACTCGGATGCGCAGGCGCAGCCTGCCGCAGCCTGGCGCAATGAGATATAGTAAAATACTCGGGATGGGGATGCGCAGGCGCAGCCTGCCGCAACCTGGCGCAATGAGATATAGTAAAATACTCCGGATGGGGATGCGGATGGGGATGGGGATGGGGATGCGGATGGGGATGGGGAGGATGCGCAGGGATGCGGATGGGAAGTAGGTCAGTAAGTCAGTAGGTCACCGCCGGTGACCTTATGACGTAATCACCGCAGGTGACCTAGTTACGTAATTTTAATGAGTTTTTTAATTAGTTTTAATGAGTTTTTTAAATTTTAATTAATTTTTGACCTAGTTACGTAATTTTAATGTGTTTTTTAATTAGTTTTAATGAGTTTTTAAAATTTTAATAAATTTTTTATCAACGAGTTACGTAATTTGATTATTTGTTTGTATTTTGTTTGTTTATTTTTTAATTAGTTTAATTTTTTTTTTATTTTTTAATTTTTTAATTTTAATTATTTTAATTAGTTTAATTTTTTAAAACTTTTAATTTGATTTTAATTACTTTGTTCATATTGTGTAATTTTTTATTATCGAGTTACGTAATTTCATTATTTGTTTGTATTTTGTTTGTTTATTTTTAATTAGTTTAATTTTTTAAATTTTAATTTTTAATTAGTTTTGTATTTTTTATTAACTAGTTACGTAATTGGATTTTAATTTTTTTTTAATTTTTAAATTTTTTTTTTAAATTTTTAAATTTTTAAATTTTAATTTTTATTAACTAGTTACGTAATTTGATTATTTGTTTGATTTCAAATTGTTTAATTTGATTGTTTACTTGTTGTTTATTTGTTTGAAATTCATTTTATGTAGTTTGATTTTAATTTTGTTTTTTACTTTAATTACGTAATTAGTTTGATTTTTTAAATTTAAATTTGATTTTTAATGTTTTAAATTTTTAAATTTTTAAATTTTATTTGTTTATTTGTTTATTTGTTTGAAATTCATTTTAATTAGTTTGATTTTAATTACTTTGTTTAATTTATTTATTTGATATATTTCTTTTCTTTGTTGTATGGCGTTGTTTAAAATAATCTACTAACGCTAACAAAAATTGAACATTCTTTCTCTAGACTACAAACATCCATTACCAACACCTGTTACTTATCGATCCGCCCGTTTTTGACAGCTCAGTTTGATTAATGGCGGGTTCACTGAAGCGACCACACCAGGGGATCTGGCTAATGCTTCCCGGCGCTGCCGGTTTTTGACAGGTACCACCCAGTGATTAATCGGTTTTCTCGATCGCAGCCGCGAAGCCACCGTTATGGTAGCCCACCTAATTAAATTTGTCACGCACCATTGATTAATGGTGGGTTCACTGAAGCGAACACCACAAGGGGTATCCGCGAAGCCACCGTTAAGTGTGGCGACAGCTGGTGCTGTAATTAGGCCGTCCAACCGTATAAAGGAACGCGAAAATTTTGTTTTAAACCAATTCGACTTAGGACGTCAAACCAAGCATCACCGCGACTTATCCAGCCTGAGACCACCGTTGACCCTCGAGACTAACCCACGCCAGCTTTACCAACCATCACATCTACCTAACCCTCCAAGGACCACATCTTTTGTGCGTGTTTATTCAATTAAAGGTAAGGTTAATATTACTTTTGCTTTATGGGAGCTAACCCCATTAAATACCCTTTAATCAAATCTTATTAGAATCTATTTACTTTACTTTTGTGGTGTACACCGAGGTAAGGTGAATATTACGTTTATTTTAAGGAAACTACCCCCATTAAAATACCCTTTAAATAAATATGTATCTAAATAAGTAGTCAATTGAATTTTCTTTTTACTGTACAACCGACCCTACTAACCATCCACTGACCCTATTGAGCTACCTACCCATCCCTGAGGCATCCACTGAACCAAACGTTCCAACTACAACCAACTACACCACTTCGGATCTCCACATACAGTTAACTACACGTTCAGCTTAGACGTTCAAATCCAGAGGTACGTTTCAATTTCAATTTAGTTTTTGTTTTAAGTATGTTTTTTTTTTTTTTTTTATTATTTTTTTATTTATTTTATGATTTTTTATTTTATGTATTTACTTTCTTTTTATTCTACAGCCAGCGACCTACCCAAGCAGCCAACTGATCCACACAGTAGATACCTCGTCAATAATGGAAGCCGCCCAGTCTACCAGCCACCCAGCCATGACCCGTAACAAGTGTGACATATGCGAGCGGGTATTCACCCGCAGAAACGATTTGACAAGACATCAAGACTCTGCACACGGACGACAAAGACATCCCTGCACAACATGCGGGAAAGTATTTACAAGACTAAGTAATTTAACGAACCATTATAAGACAGCACACAACAACCAAACATCACCGACCGACACCCCATCAGCAACCAACAGACAAACACACCAACCCACATTAGTGACCGATAGAAAAACACACCAACCCACATTAGTGATCGACACACATACTGTCCAACTCCCATCAGCGAGCCAAACAGTTCGTACAGCGACCAACACTAGCCCCTTAAAACGACACACGACGTATGACGACATATCAAACAACAAACGCGTAAAGACTAACAATGACAGTAACCTTAATTCACACACCACTACTTTTCCTGTAGACGACCTTAGGGGAGATGTAGTAGACTTACACATGACCACAGACAAACCTTCACCGACATGCCTTCTTACAGACATTCCGGACTTTATTAAACATAATCACGCGATTAACATGTTACAACAGGATTCACAGTCAAAACCCTACACAGACAATTTCTCCTTTTTTAGATGTTTAGCCAGACATTTAGGGTCACCCACAAGAGATCTTAGAATTCCAACATTAAATCTCGCGAAACAGTGGCAAGCGCACCAAGGTCTCGGGACCTTGGCTAATTTTAGTGGGGTTAGTTTGGTCGAAATTCCCCTCTTAGAGTCGTGTTTTAGTGTAAATATTGAGATTTTTGAATTTAACGAAAATCATTTCCTTTCTCCGAAACTTAGAAGTAGTGATAGGTTTATTGAGACCGTGTATCTTTTATTTTTTCAAAATCAGTTTATGTACATTAATAATATAGGTGGGGCGGGTCATTCTTTCGCGTGTTCTGTGTGTAACAAAGTATGGCCCACCGTTAAACAATTAAACAGACACGCGAAAGGGTGTAATGGGGGGAAACCCGTAGATTGGTATAAGGGAGGGGTTTATCAGACACACCAAACAATCTGGGAGTTTTTAGCGTCCTATGGGTTAGATGTAGATAGTAACTTTGTTTATCCCTTCCGAGCAACTTACGATTTCGAATGCTATTTCGACCATACCGAGTTACCCACGTTAGGTAGAGTTACAAAAAGCGTAGCCAAACACGTGCCTTTGTCTTGCTCTGTCGCCTCAAACGTAGATGGGTTCGTCGAACCCATCTGTTTTATTTCGACTGGTGACCCTCAAGAATTAGTGACTAGAGTTATTGACAGACTCCACACAATCGCTGAGGCAGCTTATGGAATTTTGAGAAAACAGTTCAATCCTCTTTTTAAGCAAATCAGGAAGTTATTTCCACCTAAAGCTAGGGGTAGTGATAATAAGTCGAACGACAAAGGGTTTGATAGGTTTCTTAACGGTAGATTAGACGATTATTTGCGACAAATGCCGGTTATAGGGTTTAATTCAGGAAAATATGATATAAATCTCGTTAAGCCGTATTTTATTCAGTACTTTTTAGCTTATTTAAACACAGAAGAGGGGTTAGAGGAGGGACATAGATCTAGTTGTAACGATGATGAAGACGACGTAGAAGATAAACAAACACCGTTTAAATATGTAGTTAAAAGAAATAATAATTTTATGTGTATATCAACTAATAAATTAAAGTTCTTAGATATAGTTAATTATCTAGCACCTGGGTTTAGCTATAGTAAATACCTCGCCGCGTATAATGTTAAAGAGACCAAGGGAAACCAAGCAAACTAATTTTTACAAAAATTTAGGGGTTGATATTTTTAAAGACGCGATTTCTGTCCCGGGAGTAACCTTAAAATACTTATTCAAAACACTGCCCAAAAACGTTTCTTTTTCTTTGTGTTCCGAGCGCGAATCAGAGTTACATAAAACAATCCGAAATAATATCGTAGGGGGTCCCTCCATTATTTTTCATAGACATCACGAAAAGGGTGAAACGTTCATTAGGGGGAATAGTAAAAAGGTGGTACAGGCAATTAAGGGGTACGATGCGAACGCGCTTTATTTATGGTCTTTAATGCAAAAAATGCCGACGGAATTTCCGATTATTAGAAATAGTGAGGAGGGGTTTAGACCGCGTAAAGCGAATCATTATGGGGAACAGGCCTTTCAGTGGTTATCGTGGGTTTCAAAAACAAAGGGGGTAACTTTAAAAACCGCATTTAACGGGGGCGAAGTTAGCTTAGGATCACGCCATATAAGAGTAGACGGGTGGGACGCGAACAGTCGAACCGTTTATCAGTTCCATGGCTGCCTCTTTCACGGACACCCCGACTGCCCCTTAACCAAAGACCGAACAGTAAATCCTATTAGTAACAGACCCTTGACTGAGTTATTTAAAAAGACAAACGACATTACGAAGTACCTTACAGATACTGTTGACGTTAAAGTCGTAGAAATGTGGGAATGTGAGTGGGGGAACCAGAAAAAAATGAACCCAACTATTAAAGACTATTTAAAATCTATTGACAAATCACAAAAGACACCGACACCGACCTATGGTAAGAAATGGCCCCTGACTGAAAAACAGATCATCGATTCTGTTTTAGACGACTCGTGTTTTGGTCTGATAGAATGCGACATTAAAATACCGGATAGTTTAAGAGAACATTTTAGTGAGATGACACCTATTTTTAAAAATACGGACGTTACGCGGGATGACATCGGACCGTTTATGAGACAATACGCGATCGATAACAACTTATTAAATAGCGGTAGACGGACTTTAATCGGTAGCTTTACAGGGGAGAAAATTTTATTAGCGACCCCCCTTTTAAAGTGGTATTTAAATCATGGGTTGGTAGTCAGTAAAATTTATCAAGTCGTTGAATATAATCCGGTTGCATGTTTTAAGACATTTGGGGATACAGTTTCAGACGCGCGAAGAAAGGGGGACATAGACGACAAATACGCAATAACTAGTGAAACAATGAAATTGTTAGGAAACGCGGCATACGGTAAAACTTTGACGGATAAAACACGACATGCGGACATGACCTACTGTAGTGATAGGGATATAGGGGATTGTATTAATAATCCACGATTTAAAAAAATGACAAAACTTACCGACGCTGTTTACGAAGTAGAAACGTTAAAAAAGAAGATAGTTTGGGATCTCCCTCTTCAGATAGGCTTTTTCGTTTATCAGTACGCGAAACTTAGGATGTTAGAATTTTATTATGACTTTATAGACAAATATATAGATAGAACCGACTTTCAGCTCTGTGAGATGGACACTGACAGTTTATACTTAGCCTTAAGTACCGATGACTTATTAAAAGCCGTTAGACCGGGACTAGAACACGAGTTTTTTTACATTTACGACAAATGGTTCCCCTCAGAAGTATGCGATCACATAGACCACAATTTATAAGCGGCAAAGGCACGGTAGATAGTCATTGTCTAGAGTGTAGGGCTAGGAAAATTTACGAAAAGAGAACACCGGGGTTGTTTAAATTAGAATATGAAGGGGATGGGATGTTATCTTTATGTAGTAAGACGTACCACTGTTTTGGCGACTATAATAAAACATCAACCAAGGGATTATCTAAAAATCACAACACACTAGGCAAAGAATCTTTCATGCAGGTCCTCACAACAAAGGGACCAAGTGGTGGGACAAACACAGGGTTCAGAGCATACAACACGGGGATATATACTTACACCCAACACAGAAACTCACTTTCTTACTTTTACATTAAAAGACGAGTAGACGCAGACAATGTGACAACATCTCCCCTAGACATATAAGACCTTTTAGTTTACCAACCGTGACTTTAACGAGACTTTACTGTAAATATGTAAATAAGACAGAACCATGACGGTATGCTGATGGGGTTGTTTTTATTCAATAAAAACGTATTATATAAACGGTCCTTTTTTAATTTTTGATGTGAGTTATTGTTTTGTTACTTGTCCCGGAAAGTTATGTAACTCGGTATCCTGTATAAGATGTATGACTGGAATCAAAATGAACCATTTAAAACGATGGATCCGAGTTGGAAACAGCTCTTTACGGCATTGATCGGTAGCCCACCCAGGCGTGGTATTCAGGGAATACTATAAACACCGCAGTATAAGAACCCTATACCATGTCCGGTGAATGTTTTTGTCTTCAGTGCTGTGGATGGGATTCCAGTGAGAGCACGGGAATGTCGGATCAAACGGAAACGGGTCTTGATATTGGACCCGAGGAAGTGAGATTGTATCCTGTACAGATGATCAATACCTTTCATGAGACTGATCAAGGGGAGATGAATCTAGGGTATGAGAGAGTGTTTGTACAGCGACCTATAGGCGGAACCTTTATTGAACCCCTTGATGAGACACCACCACCACCCAACCCAGCTTCCGACAGGGACAGTGACTTCAGGTTCCATGATGAGGAGGAAAGGTTGCAAACATTTTCAGGGTGTTGGTCCGACGTCTACCCTGTGGACCCTATCAGTTTGGCTAAAAATGGTTTTATCTTCATTGGACCTGGCGACCTTGTCAAGTGTGTTTTCTGTTTGAATACGTTGAAGGGATGGGAAACGGGTGATGTGGTAGAAGAAGAACATCGACGCCATTATCCAGACTGTCCTTTTGTACGGGCTGCACAGTCACACACACACACAGACACACACACACTCACAGGAGTTGTTTTAAGTAAATAAAATTTTTATATACATTTAAATGATCTTTTGTGATTTATTGTAATAGCTTATTAAAAGGTGTGACAACTTTCCCATCCAACTTTGAAGTCCTACGCGGTCAAAACATCGGTGTCTGTTATACACCGCAAACCAAACTTTTTTCAGTCAAACCAAAAAGCTCTCTCTCTCTCTCTCTCTCTCTCTCTCTCTCTCACACACACACACACACACACACACACACACACAATCACAAAACGAACTTGTAAAGACAAAAATAATATTGCATCAGGAAAACTTGACCGACCCTAGTATGAACACGGCCCTCATCCAACTCCAAGACATGAATGGACTGAATTTGAAACCTGTCTTGTTGAAAACAAAACTCCCCTGACGCTAGTATGAACTCACACAGACTCACACTCAAACACACACACACACACACACAAACACAATCACAAAGCGAACTTGTAAAGACAAAAATAATATTACATCGTTTAAAACTTCACCGACTCTAGTATAAACCATCCACCAACCAACTCTAAAACATGGATGGACCGAATTTGAAACCTGTCTTGTTGAAAACTTCACCGACCCTAGTATGAACACGGCCCTCATCCAACTCCAAAACATACATGTAACAACTTTGAAACCTACCTAGGTGAAAACCTCACCGACCCTAGTATACATTCTACCCACAACAATTCCAAGAATATGTATGTACCAACATGCCTCGGTGTTAACAAAACTCCCCCGGCCCTACCTCACCGACCCTCGTATACATTCTACCCACAACAATTCCAAGAACATGTATGTACCAACATGCCTCGGTGTTAACAAAACTCCCCCGGCCCTACCTCACCGACCCTCGTATACATTCTACCCACAACAATTCCAAGAACATGTATGTACCAACATGCCTCGGTGTTAACAAAACTCCCCCGACCCTAGTATGAACTCTGCCCCTAACAATTCCTAAACATATATGTAACAACTTTGAAACACGCCTCGGTGAAAACGAAATCCTTCCCACTCTAGTATAGACTCGGCCCCTAACACTTCCAAAACATGCCTGTATCAACTTTAAAACTTGCCTCGGTAAAACCAAAACTCCCCCGACCCTAATATGAACTCTGCTCCCAGCAATTCATAAACATGCATGTCCCAACTTTGTAACCTGCCTCGATGAAAACTTCACCGACTCTAGTATAGACGCGGCCCCTTTCAATTCCAAAGCATACACGGTCCTAGTTTGAAACCTACCAACTCCAAAGCATGCATGTAACAACTTTGAACCAAGCCATGGTGAAACCAAAACCATACCACCCTAGTATAAACTCTACACCTAGCAATTCCTAAACATGCATGGTCCGAGTTCAAAACCAACCTCGGTGAAAACTTCACCGACTCTAGTATAAACTCTAACCCAACCAACCCCAAAACATGGATGGTCCTAGTTTGTAACCTGCCCCGGTGAAATCTTCACCGACCCTCGTATAAACTCTACACCAACCAACAACAAAACATGGATATACCAACTACATACAACACACGGGTTCGACACGGGTCGATCAATATTATTTCTTTACTCGATCAAAAACCCATGACACTGTACGTTTAAGTGTTAGTGGAAAGTGTGGTACCAGCTGTTGCACAACTGATGCACAGCTGTCGCCTGATGGTTAATGGATACACGCATTCGACACGGGTCGATCAATACATTCCCATTCAAAAACACGCAGCGCCGGGAAGCATTAGCCAGACCCCCTGGTGTGGTCGCTTCGGTGAACCCGCCATTAATCAAACTGAGCTGTCAAAAACGGGCGGATCGATAAGTAACAGGTGTTGGTAATGGATGTTTGTAGTCGAGAGAAAGAATGTTCAATTTTTGTTAGCGTTAGTAGATTATTTTAAACAACGCCATACAACAAAGAAAAGAAATATATCAAATAAATAAATTGAACAAAGTAATTAAAATCAAACTAATTAAAATGAATTTCAAACAAATAAACAAATAAACAAATAAAATATAAAAATTAAAAAATTTAAAAAATTAAAATCAAATTTAAATTTTAAAAATCAAACTAATTACGTAATTAAAGTAAAAAACAAAATTAAAATCAAACTACATAAAATGAATTTCAAACAAATAAACAACAAGTAAGCAATCAAATTAAACAATTTGAAATCAAACAAATAATCAAATAACGTAACTAGTTAATAAAAATAAAAATTACAAAATTTAAAAATTAAAAAAAAAAAAAAAAAAAAAAAAAAAAATTAAAAATTTAAAAAATTAAAATCCAATTACGTAACTAGTTAATAAAAAATACAAAACTAATTAAAAATTAAAATTTAAAAAATTAAACTAATTAAAAATAAACATACAAAATACAAACAAATAATCAAATTACGTAACTCGTTAATAAAAAAATTATTAAAATTTTAAAAACTCATTAAAACTAATTAAAAAACATATTTAAAATTACGTAGCTAGGTCAAAAATTAATTAAAATTAAAAAAAAACTCATTAAAACTAATAAAAAAACTCATTAAAATTACGTAACTAGGTCACCTGCGGTGATTACGTCACAAGGTCACCGGCGGTGACCTACTGACTTACTGACCTACTTCCCATCCGCATCCCTGCGCATCCTCCCCGTCCCCATCCGCACCCCCATCCCCATCCCCATCCGCATCCCCATCCGGAGTATTTTACTATATCTTATTGCGCCAGGTTGCGGCAGGCTGCGCCTGCGCATCCCCATCCCGAGTATTTTACTATATCTCATTGCGCCAGGCTGCGCCTGCGCATCCGAGTTTTTTGCTATATATCCTTTGCGCATCCGCCTGCGCCTGCGCCTTCGCTCCAAAAGAGACCTAATATACTACTCATGTATACAAAGTACAAACATTGCTTATATCTCCGTCTAGAATACTGCACCTAATCATTGCTTACAGTATAACAACATATGTGTGTCACCGCTTGCGTGCATACAAGATTTGGTTTAGTTCACTCACACAAGATTTGGTTTAGCTCACACACACAAGATTTGGTTTAGCTCACACACACAAGATTTGGTTTAGCTCACACACACACGATTTGGTTTAGCTCACACATACAAGATTTGTTTTAGCTCACACACACAATATTTGGTTTAGCTCACTCACACAATATTTGGTTTAGCTCACACACACAAGATTTGGTTTAGCTCAAACACACAAGATTTGGTTTAGCTCACACACACAATATTTGGTTTAGCTCAAACACACACGATTTGCTTTAGCTCACACACGTGTTGGAAGACAACGCTGGCTCTAAGCACTATTAAAGCTCAAGTAATGTAAGAGGAAAGTTGTGTTAGTCATTTTGAAGTTAAAATCTTTGAAATTCCCTTCACACAGCGGCTTTATTCGTTGGTAAGTTAGAGTGTGTGTCTTTCAACATCACTTAGTATTACTTGTAATTATGCTATGCGCTCTATGGCCGGCTAAAATTTGGTTTATCCTGATATTTTTTCTGGATTCCCAGTGCAAGATACGAGCCTAATCTGGAAAATGGACCTAAACACGGGGACAATGACGTGGATGTGTCACTTCATAGCCCCCTTAGACATTGTGTTGTATAATGATTGTGTTTGGTGTAGCATTAAATTTTAAAATTAAAATTAAATTATATAAGTGAATACTAATAATTTCAATAATAGTTTAAGATCCATGATAAATAAAAAAGACAAAAATGATTTACATTTGCAGCTAGGCTAAAAAAGACACACGGGTAACATACACTAAAGAAGACAGAACTACTTCAATGATTGTAAACATGTGGACTTAGACTTGATTTCACATCATCTATTTGTCTTTATTGACATTGGTGGCGAACAGATGTAAATGTTAACTTGAAATATCTTGTTTCCGTAAAGAAAATGTCTCCATAAAAAAAGGTGTAAAATATAAAAAGGTACTCGAATGTAGCCGTTTTTAAAATGGAAAACAGGTATTTAATCAACTAAATCCTAACCCAACCGATTGATCTAATTATTACCTGTCCCTAATCCAACCGACTGATCTAATCCAGAGGTCTCCAAACTATGGCCCGCGGGCCGTGTGCGGCCCGCGAGGTCATTTTATCCGGCCCGCGACGATCTTTTTGTCCACTGAATAAATGTTTGATGGAGGTGGCTGAGGAGCTTTGCACAGAAAATTCGAAGCTATTTGAAAATGTAGCTTTGTATGCAAATACAATTACTCGCCGTGTTGCAGACATTGGTTAAAACATAGTGACTCTAATAGCGAAAAATTCAAGGAAGTTCAACCATTTTCCCACGTTTTCTTTAACTTGCTTTCGTCTCTGTCTTTCCAATCAAATCTTGCGATCGAAATTTCTGGCACTTCCCAGTTAGCTAGCGCGCTGAAATTTTCAGGGAAGCTTTGTTTTGGATGACATTAGAATATTCAATTGTTATTATTACTAAATTGATCCATGGAAACATTTTATTGAGCATTTTAGGGTGCTATATAATTGTAGTAAAAACGTGGGGGGAAAAGGGACATAACCCAGTAACTGTAATTTGATGAAAACAAAGTTCGGTACTCTCCCTCTTTGCTTACTGAGTAGTGTTCACGCGGTGCTTGTGTACAAACAACCGTAACAACTGGTGGCCAGTATGGGGGAGACGATATGGTCGAGTGGTTGGGCACACGATTGCTATCCCACTCGACACGGGTTCAAATCTATGTGTTCTAGTCAGTAACGTATTCACACAACGTGTTTTTTACGAGTTGTCTTCGTTTACTCAAAAGAAAGTGAAAAGATAAAATCGATAGCAAGATTTTAATGCAAACAGACAAAGACTAAAAAGTAGAAAATAATAATCATTAAAAAAGTTTTTAAAAACCCACGTTTTCTGATTGAACTAAAAAATAGAAAATAAATGCTATACATCACAATAATGCAAGCGATCACTCTACTATAAGCGATCAAAAACGTGGGGCGCCGAAGTAAAAGTTATATTACTATTGATTAGATAATACTATTGACTTTTATTAGGGAGCTTGTAGAGAGTCAACAGTATTAGAAACTGTAAGAAAATCACGTTACCAATCCTATATTCTTAGACGCGTGACCTTGTTTTCTATAAGTGAGTTATTTAAATGTAAGCAATACCTGCGCTTGTTTACCTACACTACCGCATGAAAACCTTGAGTGTACATTAATCACTTACCGAAATAATATGAAAGAATACACTTCGGTGACCGCCCATGTGTCAGAGAAGTAGATGGGCACTGTCAGGAGCCCCCCTTTCGATTACACTACCGCATAGACGTGGCGTACGACCCGTGGCTCCTTAAAACTAACAGGCGCCATCGTGCCAAATTGAATCCTGGTAACAATTATGCAGATTGCGTCATTCACTAAAGTGACACAAATGAACAGAATTTGTTATTTAACACGTGAACAAATTATTTGACGTGTTTTAAACATCAGTGTGACTGGTACAATATGTTAGCGTTACTAATGGTCTATTCTTAGATGCTCGATCTCAATTTCTGATTTGATTATCTAAAAATAGATGCTAATTGCATCATTCGCAAAGTGGCGAAACTGGATTTTTTTACGGGCAAAAAGAAACATCCCAGTTGATAATCTAACATTGGTTAATTTTTCTTATTATTAAAATAAAACGTATTACATGGCCTTTGCGGCCCATGTGAGTCTTTGGGGGCCGAAACAGACATTTTTGTTTGCAGCCTAATCGCACCCTACCAGGGCGCCAGAGCACACGCCTGAGTTAATTTATTGAGCGCTTGTAACGCTCCATCCTATCCATTGTCTATCTCACTGTTTAGACCGAACTTAGTCACCATAGCGCTCACGGAAAGACCAGGGCGCCAAATCGCATCATTTAGGGGGCCGACCATTGCTTTTATTGAAATAAGCACGTTTGATTTATTTTCTTATTTTCACTTCAAAATTAAAAGCTTATTATTGTCAACAGAAGAAATGATATTACAAAATATTTGTTCTGCTGAACCACGTTCATAACAATAATTTAACCGAAAGTAACCAGATCAGCCTCAGTAACCATTAAATGCACGCACTATTTTGGCCTGTAGAAAAATTAGTTTCTTATTAAAACAAAGTAAAATGCCAATGCACATACAGCATTACACTGAAATACTTCATACATGTAAGTTAAAATAACTAAAGACAAAATTGGCCAGGCTAACAATTGTCAGTGGACATTGCATCTAAGACACACATACGTCATGAAATGTTACGATTGACTACTAAGTATTGTGATTAGGGGTGGGGATGGTGGAGAAAAGAAAGCTGGGGTTGAAACGCTCACGAGCGGCACTACTAAGACCTACAGTATTTGTTAGTTCTTCATAATGTAAACAATGCATAGTGCCTACAACTACAAACGTTTGCATTAAAACCTCTCATAGCTTGCGATTCGTTATTGACAGATTTACCTTAATGACAGCTATACATAGCAACGGGAAGCGGGTGGGATAAAAAAAAACGAAAAGCTCCTGAGCGACCCTAGATAATTGTATAATAAAATACTCTGCTACAAGTCTTTACATATAGACTTAAATATTGCCTCATGTGGTTTTGTTACAGGGGCAGTAACTAGTAAACGGCACTTTAAATACACTAAAGAATTTATTTTTTAGAATGAGGGGAACAGAACAGATAGTTAACCTCAAGCGCTAGAATCGGTTGCCAAAGCTGTGTTGTTATCTCCCTTTTTATTAATTCGATAAACTTAATTACTTTTAACTAATTAATTCAAGATCAAAATAAGGTGATAATAGATAGTCCAAATTACGCTATATGAATGTGCGACAACATAGTCGTTGCATTACACGTTTGTCAAAACTGAGTTAAAACGATGTGCCCTAATCCCTCGAAAAATTAAATAAAAGATTATAAAACTCAGGTTACAAAAATATTGTTGTGCATTTTTAAAAATTCGGAATAACATTAAATCCATCATAATTAATTTCAATCTTGTTATAATTTCTTTATTTTAGCATTCACAATTAAAAAAAAAATTAAGTTTAGTCGTAATTTGCTTTGAAGTGATTAAGTAGTTTGTACTCCTCAGAAAAACCTTCAAAGCCAAAACCTTCAAGCCAAAAGCAGTTAAGGTTTACTTTGAAATTATTTATATTATAATCTAAATCAAAACGAAAACAACATCATTTCATGAAGCGATTGTTAAAAGGAAAAGCACAGTAATTAAGGGAAAATCCACAAACGATACTAATTACTCGCAGGTGCGTCAATATAGCACTACCGTAGAGTCTAATAAGACGATTCATATAGGTACCAAAAGGTATAAAGAGTTCACGTTCAACAAATATCCCTATGCAATCAAACTATAACCCTTTTATTCTACAGTTCTATAAAGTGAACTTACTTTTACACTTAACATTGATAACAAGCACGTAAGCAGTCACCTTGAGCCAATCAGCATTCGACATGCATCCAAGCACTAGAAATTAAATATTTAAACACATCATTTTTAATACTTTATCTCAGATAAAACAGTACCAACACTGTCGTTTGCGTTATTTAGAACTAAAATATGTTATGTGATTTCTTTGTTCATTTTGTAGACTTAAATTAGTTGCGTTATTTGATTTTTTGGTGTACTTGACAGAGTCTAAAATGTACACTGCTACACTACTACAAACAGTACCTTCTACCCACCTTAGAGTGACATTGTTTAGCTGATTATAAATACACATACATTTGAGTTTCCGTATTGTAATCGGAAAAATTGGTTGTCCCATCAGAAATTGCATATTGTGGTAAGGGTATTTTTGAACTTACCAGCAATTTCTCGGCACCACCATTAACATCATCTTTTAGGTTATACAATCTTAGAACAGAACCCCTAATTGTCGTAATTATAATTGTATATCGTTTGACTAGTAAATAGATATAAACAACACAGAGTACAGCAAGACATATATCACTAAGATCTAAATGACACATATAGTCCCTACTGTCAGATTACAGGTTAAATATTCACTATGATCAAAATATATTTCAAAGCAAGCATAGATATACAATAATCTTGATTAATCTTGAATAATTATAGCATATTTTAACACATTTCTCAACCATTTATTAAAACAATATTGATCTGACGATAGCATTAGCATAAAATGCCAGCCTTACAATAGATTTTATGTCTGACATTTTCCTGGACTTTATTTTCTACCCAACACAAATTCCAATCCGAATAAGTTTAATAACCATTTGACGACTAAGATCTATATAGCAGGAGATGTTCTGTGCACCAAAACAAATGTTGCCTAAACAAATGTGTTAACAAAGTAGAGAAACAACAGTTCTGTCAATTGTAAAGTGACGTCAGCGTATTAGGCAATATTAGGATTTCCCTTTTTTGAACTTTCAATTTAAGACCGATTTTATTGCAAGCTAAACATATTCCAAAAGTTATAAAGTAAGTGTAAAAATATCATCTACATAAAATCAAATTTATCTATACACAGTAACGGCAACAAGAAACATGAAAACTATTTAGAATAAGCAGCACATTTTATTTAAACTACTTGTCTTAAATTAAATATGAGACGAATATCTATATAATTAATTCTCTTCTGGGATCAGTTAGAAAACAAGCTGCAATCGCGCCTTTGCAGTCCCCTCTCTTTCTCTCTATCACTATCACTACCACCCCCACCCCACCCCCACATGATCTGGTGAGCGGTGTTCACTCTGTTTACATTTTAAATTAACAGAGACGGGTTTGGTGACGGCTATTAGGGGCAGATAATTTAGTTTGAAACGATTTTAAACTTAGAGGAGGTAACTAAGAGGAAGCTGCTTTCACATGGGGGGGGGGGGGGGGGTAGTGTTTTTAAGCAAATATTTTCAATGGCAGCATTGGTACTGTCGAATTCACACATTATAAATTACTGAAAAGTAGAAAAAAAAACTAAATAGCGGCGTATGATACGCAGCGGGTCGGCTCGTATATAATATATTTGTTTCAGTTAAAAAAATATAGATTAATACTTCGTTTGAGATAATTATGACATTCTAAGTGCTACAGATAAATAGATGTGATTTTTTGATAAATTAAATTTATCTCAAGTACGTGTCGTCTCTTGACGCCATCTTTTTTACTTTAACAAAAGTATTTTTATAACATCGGGTATTCCCATTATATTCTTTTTTTTTTAAATTTTACTAAATAGGCATACTTGCTTACATTTATTTAGTAAAGAGTGAAATTTAATTTTATGTAGTAAGTTAACAATGATTATCAAAGAAATACGTATGATAGAATAATACGTTTAAACAGATATTTAATCAGCAAGAAAGCCTTTGACAAAATGAAGCTGTTTTGTGAATAATAATGCTATAAAATTAAATCTACTTAGACTTAAACTATAAACGTTTTCTAAACGGTTTTAGTTTTTGCATTGTTTTACAATTGTCGTGTTAATCAAGATAATTAGTCAATATATCGATCATAATTTTTGAATTATTTTGTTAGATGCGACCCAGAATTCAAGTTGAACTTGTTACACGGCACAATAAATATTTGGAAGAGCAGATACAAGTTCTGGAACCTGTCATGAATGTTATGAATCTAGCAATTGATTATTAACCCCTTTATGCCTGAATATATTTAGAATTTTTTTGCCGTGTTTATATATCAAATGGTTACTGAATTTATGTGAAATAGTTGATTTGAAGATTGTGCATGTTTTCGATGTAGTTTTGGGTATGTCTCGAAAACGCGACATCAGGCACAAATGGACCTTTTGATGAAAAAAAAAACAAAATAATATGTGGATTTTTTATTGACATATACTACTCAATCAAATGATTACAAAAACAATAGAAAATAATACAAGCAACAAATGGACATACATGTCGATGAATAATCACTTGTGAAATTCAAGAAAACAGTTTTTATATTTGCTCAAACACAAGTTTACATTGCACTTTGCACATTTTCTGACTGTTTGACCTCTTTAGTTTGGGAGTTTGTATCGTTGCCTTGCAGAATCAACTACTGGCCAGTGACTCATGTTATCAGAACGAACCTCCTAAAGAGGAATAGGCTTTGCTGGTCCTCTGTGTTTCTTTTTTTCAAATTCCCTTTCAAGGTCAAATGATGGCCTCCCCCTTTTCTTTTTGACATGTCTTTGCCTGGCATGCAAAGGGCATGCGCAAATGCAGATCTGAAAGAAAGCAAATATTTTGTTTTTGCACAACAATACCCAATGAATCACAGTCCCCTCGATATAATAGCGAACTGTTTACAATGGCCATATCAACAAAATGGAAAAAAAATCTGTGGTAGTACTTTTCAGATTGTATGTGTATTCTGTAGTAAGCAATGAGTGCATCAAGGGCATCCATAAACGTGTATTTCAGCTTGATATATGTTGGGGTATTCAATGACAACATTTCTTTTCAATTTCTGTCCCATCTTTCAATAATTGAAGTTGGTTGTGCACTGGCAAAGGTACTTGCAATGTTTACACGTCTCTTGTCAAAACATTTTACTGCCCTGATTTCTACATCTTCTACAACAACAGTTTTCTCCTCGTGTGTACCCCTTCCTTTCTTTCTCATTTCTAAGTCTGTGCTGAACACGCGATTATGCTGCATCGTTCCCAAAACTTACAAAAAGATTAACTGAAGAGAACCAGCTTGATCTCCCTTTGAACGGCACCATTTGCTCATCAATGGAAAGCATCTGAGCTTGTGGGAGTTGTTGAAATTTTGGTAGAAGGGCATCAACTATCGGCCTGATTTTGAACAATTTATCATTGTTAGCGTTATAGTTTGCAGCCAAGTTGTTGTCGTCATTGAAATGAATATATTTTTTAATTTGCTCACCTCTGTCTCGTGACATCACATCGGTAACTTGTGCCACACGACATTCACTAGACCAGTACATTCTTGATCTAGGCATGTGTATGATGCTCATATATATTGCTATCCCAATGAATTGGAGTGATCTATTTTTTAGTGACGTGTTGGGGGTCTAGTTGATTGCAATACAGATTACTTTTTACAACGATAATGTCCAAAAGGTCAGCATCGAAAAAGTCTCTGAAATACTGAACTGGATGTTTGATACCATCAGCATTTGGAAGTGCACCTAGCCATGCTGGAACACTTTTTTTTCAGAGTTTTGTTGCCGTACAGTCTTCCATTGCAAGGTCTGCCGTTTCCCCACCCCCCTTGCTTTAGCAGCATGTTGAACAATTGCACGTGTAGCACTGGTGCTGGTTGTTGCGCGTGATCGATGGCGGTTGCACAAATATCGATGGCAGTTGCACAATGAGTGGTGATAGATGCCCCATGATTGGTGGATGCTACACAACGATTTGTGTAGGCTAAACCATGATTGCTGTTTAGTGCATCATTATTGCTGTCAGAATCATCATCACTATTTATGACATGCGTACTCTCATCACCACTGCTGTCATCAGTTGAGTAGTTGCCTGGTTTAGGTCTGTTATCTTCACTGTCACTGTCACTAAGACAGCTGTCATCACTTTTAAATGGCGGTGCTCTAGTTTGGAGTCCACAATAAAAAAAATGATGGCTTAATTTTTTGTTCCTACAAGTAAAAAATCTCAATTAGGAATGTAGTAGTTCCTTTTTATAAAAAATTAAAATGACTCAAACAACTGGAATCAACAAATGATTATGCGTATATGCCAAATTTTCGAAATTCCCACCAAATTTTCCAAATTCCCTCTAAATTCCCACCAAAATAAACACCACTAGATAGTATATATATTGCATATATGCAATCCAAATATGTTGAAATTCACATTGGATAAGATAAATCGTCATTTGTACATTGGGATCAACCCTTTTTTAGTAACACCAGTTTTTACAAAAAAGCTCTATTTTATGCAATAATGCCGGATGTCGCGAAATCGCGACAAACCGTAATTTGCTAATATTTTCCAAAGTAAAACTCACATGTAATTTTTATTGTGTATATACAATAAGAAATAATTAATCAACTAAAAATATTTCTTGTAGTAGCAACTTACCTCAACTTTACTAGGTACGGTTGATAAAAGTAGCCGAAATCCACAAGTATGAGAAATTCACAATGCGCGTCGTTCAAACGGAAATAACTTAGCATACATCGCTCAGATGAAATGACCAGTGCTATTGATATGTGCCTTTAGCGCGTAATCGGCACATTGCGAAAACGCGATGTTATTGATTCATAAATTAAGATCAAAAGTAGTTAAAGGACAGTTCTATATAAGTTAAAATTAAACGATTTACACGTTTCATTACAAAATCATAATTTATTTTACAAGGCTGTATAATTATAATAAATGTAAGAGTTGTGAATCTATATTAAATCTATCTACTACTAACCTAAGGAAAGAACATAAACAAACGTAAGAAATATATCATACACCGAACAAAAGTAATATATGAAACGTGAAAGAAATAGACACAAATATTACGCAATACATATCCCATTATCACGTTCTGTAATAAAACATTATTTTGTTCATTTACATCACCAAGATGAAAACAAAGAAAACGTAGATGTCGAGGGATATAAGCCATCATTATCTCAGTCTAAACCACCGACTACAGAAGCAGAAAAACGTGACCATAGTGAAACAAAACACCAAGTCGCTAAACACGTTCAATCAACAGCGGGTATGGAATATTTAGAAACTAAAACAACTAATTCTTAAGATGTAAACAAATATGTCTTAGCTTCTTTAACAAATAAAGTATGTATGATTTACTAAACACAATTAATACGTAGAATAATTTAATTTGTTTATCATGTATTACTATAGAAATATTGAGTCGACTTCAGCAGATAGAGACAGCCATATCTTCTCTACAAGACGTCAGTCGACTGGAGCAGATAGAGACAACCATATCTTCTCTACAAGACGTCAGTCGACTTGAGCAGATAGAGACAGCCATATCTTCTCTACAAGACGTCAGTCGACTTGAGCAGATAGAGACAGCCATATCTTCTCTACAAGACGTCAGTCGACTTGAGCAGATAGAGACAGCCATATCTTCTCTACAAGACGTCAGTCGACTTGAGCAGATAGAGACAGCCATATCTTCTCTACAAGACGTCAGTCGATTTGAGCAGACAGAGACAGCCATATCTTCTCTACAAGACGTCAGTCGACTTGAGCAGATAGAGACAGCCATATCTTCTCTACAAGACGTCAGTCGACTTGAGCAGATAGAGACAGCCATAGCTTCTATACAAGACGCCAATGACAAGTCTACAAATGACATATCAGAAATAAAACAATGGAGAGACAACATTGAACAACTTGCTAAAAAAGAAAAATATAATTTTAAATCATTAGAAAACAAATGAACGAGCATGATAAAAAAGTAAAGAATCTGAGCAAAGAAAATGAAAGTTTAAAAGAAAAAGAAACCAAGTCAAACAAAACACTAGAGAAACTGTCTTTAGATATGAAAGAATATGAAAACAACTTACACGAAAAAACTATAGAGATGCAAAATCAGATTAAACTGAAAGTATAATACAAGAAATAAAAAGTTATTCTGATTTAATTGTTTCTTTACAAGAGGATTATATAAAACCATGGCAAATGCATGAACCAAATTTGAGAAGTTACAATTCAAGGTAAACATTAAGATTGTTAATTAATTGGGTGTACATTTGCTGACAAGTTTATATACTACACATTTTATAAACAAGTTGTACATTAAATTAAAAGTCAGTTTATTAATTTTTGCAACAGTAAGACCATTAATTCTAAAACTATACTTAAAGCAGTTTTTATTGCTGCAATTTAATCTCCAAAAGAAATAGTCAAACTTGTAGTAATCCTATAAAATTATCGGCCGATTCTGGCCGAGCATGTCTCCGACCACATTGTCCATTCATATGCTGAGGACAAAAAAAACCCAGGTGAACTCTACTTCACCTGCCCTGTGTCCCGCGAGGTCCCGATAGCCAACTTCATCATTCACGTTTAAGAAAAAAAAATTGAAACAAAAAAATAATACCTTTGTCGTGGTGTGTCTCGATCCCGTACCACCCGCATGGTAGCCATTCTACTACAATTTTAGCTATATTGGCACAGACTAACCAATGTAAAATTAGATACCCTTTACGCGAATAGGTCCTATTTTTACAAGCTTTTATTTAACTTACTTCCTCTGTCAGTCTGTCTAGATCGAAACGCCCGTGTAAACTTGCAGGCACTTCTAACTGACAGATACGTTTCGTAGACATGTACGGTTTTTAGTCATGTAACTCTATTATAAATAAAACATTTGGCGGAGCAGCGGTAGAAACAGTTGCCACTCGGCGTAACAAAAAAATGTTACGCCGAGTGAGTGGTTTGAGTCACTTGATTCGATTCAATACCATTTAATTAAGCTGCACCACCATGTAGAGAGGTTACAACCTTAAGCAACCATGAGGCTATTTCACATTCAGACGACTAGATGGCATTCATAGATAAGACGAACTCAATAACTCCTTCTTCCTATTCTTTATTCTAGTGTCTACATTTATATCTCACGAATCTATATCCCAACTTGAATCATACCAGTCAGCATACGTCCTTTCTCACCGACGATCAAGATAAGACT